AGCAGCCTCCATGTCTCCAGTGTCTTTTTCCCCACTTGGAACCGAACCCAGAAGGACATTTCTTTCATCATCACCTTGTCCCGCCTTCTCCTTTAGTGAAAATGTATAAAGCTTTCTTCATCCTTTGTTCTTGGTTTCTTGGCCTTTTGACCAGGAACCCTTTTCCCCAATAAAAAGCAATCAGAAAACCTGCACTTCGTTTCTGGTGTCCATCATTGGCTTCATCAGCACCAGGCTCAGACCCAAAGTGGGGACAACAGTGAAGTACTAGAACAATGGAATTAAAAAGGAGACAAAGAATTCGAAAGGAAAAATATCAAAATTTTAAGATCAAGAAAAAGAAAAAGTCAAGTAAATGGATGGAGAGAAAAAAGACCATAAGAGAAATGAAGTTCCTGAGAGACTAAGAGGAGAAGGTTAAAAGGAGGGAAGAAAGAGTTGTTAATAGAATAGAATGAAATTTAGGGAATATAGCCAAAGTTTTATGTTTAATACAATGTGGGGGAAATAGATTAAACTTACTATTTGCAGACAAGTAATCAAATGAAATGTTTAATGCACAAAATTAAATTTGAGGATATATGTTATGAACAGTAAAGCAGAATAATAGATGGAAATGATATGTTAAATTTGATTGACTTGGAGAGGCAAATAATGATATTGTTCAATATGCTAATAAGAAATTAAAATTAAGCGGCAGACTATGGAATGAAGATAAGACGACTGAAATGCAAAATGGGGAAAAAAAGGATGTAAAATGCACTACGTATAATTACAAGATTTAAAGAAGGGGAAACCTGGATCCCACTTTGTTTATAAAGAAGTTTAAATATGTAACAAAAAAAAAACTTTGCTTAAAAAAATAATAATGTGAATTTCAATCGTGCTAATAGTGACATGACAAAGAGTAAGTTAAATCGACAGCTGGTTTTCGCTTTGGAGTCCAGGCGGTCCTCGACTTACGACGCCAATGGAGGCCAACATTTTTGTGGCTAAGCGAAAGATTTGCTAACCGATGTTGGCCCCGTTTTACGAGCTTTCTTGCCACAGTTATGACGTGAATCCCTGCATTGTTGAGTCAAGTCACATGGCTCTGAACTGAATTTGGCTTCTCCGTTGATTTTGGTTGCCAGAAGTTCACAAAGAGGGAGCATGTCACCCCCGAGACAATGCAACCGTCATAAATATGAGTCAGTTGATCAATTTTGATCACCTGGAGATTGGGATGTTGGAACGGTCGTAAGTGTGAAAAATATAAGTTGCTTTTTCTTCAGTGCCGTGACAATGAGTCCTTTTCCAACGAACACATTTTATTTAAAAAAAGGATGAAAATGGTTTGCGTGCTAATAACATGTGTTGGCTGGAATGGTTGCTGAGTGGCTGGAGTAGAGCTGTGAAGTCATCATAACTGCCGAGTTCCTGAAAGTAACCATGGATCTCAAACATGAAAAAGAGATTGCAAATATATATATCTGTTGTGGCCCAGCAGGAGCCGTCGGCCACCAGGTGGCGGCAGA